TGCATTGAGATTTAATTTCTTTTGATAGTATTTTTGAATACTATGCGTCTCTATACATAATTTAAATCACTTTTCCTGTTAAGTTTGTGTACTTACATACATTAAAATACGATTTTTCAAGTGTACGAATATTTATTTCCCCCCACTGTAGGTGACAAAATTATTAATGCAATTCATACTACATTTTTTGTGATGTTTAGCTGAATAATCCTTAGCATGTGTTAATGCTTAAAGGTAAACAAAGAAGATATGCTGGTTCAGAGATAAATAATAAATTGGAGATGATGATGAGCCAGTTGCACCAGAGCCAGGGCCAGAGCTTTCACCCCCTGTTTCAGAGCCGTTAGATTCCTGTTATATGAATAATTTTCTATCCATTTGTTTAAAAAGTGCACAGTCAGTCTGCAAGATTCCAAATCTTTAAAAAAATGTGTATTTTTGGAGCCATAAATTTTCTTTCCCAAGAAGGGAAATTGCAATTCTACAGTATTGAATAGGATTTTTTCTTTATTTCATAGTTTAATTGATATAAAGTTTTGAAATTGATATGCCATGCAAGCAAATTTTTGTCTGCATATCCAGCAGACAAAAATTTGCTCAACAAAGCAGACACTGTTGGTGACAGTGACACAATGGTCAAACCCTTATTTGTGGGGCTTTGAAAATGGTGGGAAAGTCTATTCATGGCTTGAAAGTAGATGTATTCCATGTCTTCTAATTCCCCCAAGATTTGAATACCCTAAGTCCCTAAAACAGGGTGACTTGGCCCATTGACAAGGTGACTTGGACCATTTTTACATATCTATATGAAAAGAAAACCCTATAGGTACTGAAAGAGTTCTTGCCTTAGAAAATTATATATTCTATTTATTAAATATGTGAATGTCACCCCATTTCACAGTACTGTCGTCTCCTATTAAAATATCATGGCTCAAAAATCCAAGAACTTCAGTAAATTTGTAGTCCTTATACTCCTTAACCTCCAAACTCCAAAGCCATGCATTTTAATTTGATCAGAAATCTTCTTGTTGACAAAATTTGCCATGGAGCAGCAAGAGGGCATAGAGTAGATGAAAATGTAAGTTCCATTGACAGGCAAATTGTGTGTCATTGATGGTCTTGAAGGCTCAACTGCAAGTTTGTCTAAATGTTGATCACAATTTTTTATAAAATTGCATTAACTTTGTTGATCTTGAATTTTTTTTTCACCTAACTAGACTTGAATGACCCAGATTTCTGAGTGTGGTCTAAAGGCAACAATAAATGCTATCTTGGTGAAGGTTGGGAGGTTGCTTGGAATTCTGATTACCAAATTTAAATGTGTTGTCAGACCCTGGAGCTCATTTAGAGAATATATATTTACATTTAGAGAATATATAGGTAGGTACCTATATATTTTCCTTATTTGATCAGTTGAACAATAATAGGTATGTTAATTAGGATATTAAGATTTAGGAGATGTCTGCTTTGTGGACTGACCTAATGTTACTGAATTTTTTTTATTGAAACAGAATTGGAGAAGTTATTTGATTTTATGTATTTTTTTGTTTCACTTTGCATCACTGATTATATAAGTATAATTTACTATTCTGCTGGTAGATATCTTGGCTCTTGGTTTATCTTAAATGCATTAGAGTGTTAGCAACAATTCCATGTAGTTTTCTTTAGGCAGTGCTGATAGAAAAACTATATGCCTATGTTCCCAAGCAGCAAAGGGTTTTCTCTTGCTCCAATTTTTCTAGCCAAGAGGTTAAGCCTAATGATTAAGTTTTGTTCTGGGTTAACCCGCACTTTATCATGCATAACTCATAAACAATGTTATGTGATTTTGTTATACTGTGAGTAACCAGTACCTACCTATTTGATTTGAGTTTTTGTTTACCATTTTTTATCTGCAGAAACTCATGACCTCTCATTGAATTTTATGAGTCAGCATTGGATTGCCATCAATGTTGCACGTGATTTGTTTAAATGAATTGTGGCATCATGTCTCCAGTCAGCATACTGCAGTGCTTGCTGCTGCTGCTGGCATCGCTCTTGGTTTACGGTCAGCTGTCTGACCTTCGGCGCTGTGCAGATCCTCAATGTCAAAGTAATATTCATTAAAAAAGTTCACTGTGATTCATAGATTCTCTATGGAAATACATATATTTCCTGATAACACATGTTCTAGCTTAGCTTCTGAAAATAATGTTTAAAAAGTATTTTGTGTAGATTATATCATGTATGTATATGTATACATTTATTTTATTATATCATATATAGGTAGGTAACCTAACTATATGAGATCACTTCTTGTAAGCAAAACTTTTCTATGGTGTAACTTTTCTAGCAATACTATATTTTTTTTAACTTGACAAAAAGAAGACTTGGCATAAATAGTCTTCACTAAACTATCATGATCTGTTGGTAATATTGTTTATTTAGTTTTTAATATTTTATTAAACTTTCAGAATTGATCTCCAAAGCACACACCATAATGAAGTATCCTTCTGGCACCACAGGAGTTTTATCTTTCCCCAACAACGCTGAGGTCAATGTGTACAGCAAGGAGGCTGGATCAAACCCTGACTGGTGGGGTGTTGAGGTGAGAGTGGTAACAGCTGATATATCTTGTACCAAAATATCTCTTAATTTCCATTACTATCCCACTAATATTTGCTGAGATTATTTCATTGATTTGTTATAAGAATAGTCTTAAGTTGGGGTCAAGAAGACAAAAATTATTTCAAATATTTTTTGTGGCAAAATTCATTAGGCTGTTTTGTGGAAAATTAATGTTCTGTGGCTTTTAAACTTTATGGAATGGTTTTTATGGTAAGATTTTCAGTTCAGATATATGCTATGGAGAATTTGAAGTATATTTTTGATTTAGTTATTATAAATTGGAAATTTTGTATAATAGGTATATCTAATAACTGATGTCTAGCTGAAAATAACATTAGTAGAGTATGTTATTCTAGGTTCCTGGACAGATTTTTTTGGCAGTGTTGACATTGTATCTAAATGGTCATTACTGTTACTGGAAGTGATTTTTTTTTTGCTGGAATTTATATCTTTCTTTAGTTTCTTTAGAGACAGTTGCTCATTGTAAAATTTCTGTTATTATTCAAACTTTTTACAGATAAATGGGAAATTTGGTTATGCCCCCAAGAAATTCATTCGGGAAGATAAAGTGCTTCTTAAAGATGACCTACTGACACACATTGTTCCCGTTATGTCTGCATCTATGGGCCTCAAAAAGGAAATTCCAATAGATCCAAAAATATTGAGTAAAGTAAATGAAGTTAAAAATGATGAGAACGAAGATGGTGGTGAAGAGTTTGATGAAGAGGATGAGCTTGATGGAATACAATTTTATAACAAAGAAGATGAAAGACAAGTTAAAGATGAGCAGAAGCAAGATGATTTGACAGAGCCTTCACAAGCATCAGCACCAGTAAACAATGTTGCTTCTGTTGCTCAAGATTCCATAGGTGAGAAATCCCCTCCTGAAAGTGTCTTACCATCTGCTGATATTTCTCCTGTTAGTATTTCATCACCTCCTGTTCAAATTTCTTCTGACCAGCCACTTTCAGTCAAAGAAATATCCCTTCCAACAAATGTTGAGCATACAGCAAGCAGCGACCCAGCCTCTATCCTGCCCAGCCAAGTGAAATATGAAGTAGTGGATGGCACTACTCTCTATGTGGACAGTGGTGATGTCACTGAGCCTCCTATTCACCTACCAAGCTATCAGACTCCCCCTCCCCTTCCAGCCACCACTACTCACACTGCACATGTCATCACCCCCACGCCTCCACTGACTCCATCCCTGTCTCAGGATACAATCACCGTCCCTCCTACTGCTGGTGAAGAACCTTCCAGGAGCCAAGTTCTCAACACTCCTGAGTTAATGATGGTCTCTACAGGTCTGCCACAGAGTACAATTGACAAAGGAGAAGCTCCTGCTGCTGCAGGCACACCGCCCATTCAGCCTCAAAAAGATCATGTTTCTCGTGAAGAGCCCCCTGAGCACTTGAAGGCTGTTCCTATTGGCAGTGGAAGTATGAGCGTCACTTCTTCTGCTACTGATGAGTCTAAACCAGATGCTGCAAGCATCCCATCTAACCAGAATATAGATGAGAATTATAAACAAATTACGAATGAAGGAGGAATTGATAACTTTCAACCTAGCATTGTTGGAATTCAGAGAGAACAAGCACCAAATTCGATTGGCAACTTTAGTTCTGACAGTGAGTCGGCCATCCCAATCACAAATGCAGCAATGACATCTGATTTCACTGCTCCTAAGCCTGATGACGTATTAAACATTCCAGCTGATAACAAACCTAATGAAACTAATGAACCAAAAGCGACTGAAAATGTAGTTGAAATATCTGGAAATAATCAAGATCAGACTGAGAGCTTGTCCCCAGAAGCTTCAGGGTTAGATGGCTCACCAGAAACTTCAGTGCCAAAAGTGTCTGCAAGAGCCTCAGCATTGGAAGGGTCCGCACAGGCATCAGCATTTGAAGGGTCCACTGAGGCATCAGCATTTGAAGGGGCTCCAGAATCCTTTGCGTTGGAAGTGTCTCCTGAATCCCTGGTCTTGGAAGGGTCTGGTAATGAGCAAAAACAAGCTAGCCACAGCATTCCTGATGGTTACCCTGAAACTTTAGCTACCGTTTCTGAGTCTGAGGATCTTGAGCTGGAGGTAGAGCCTCAAGACAGTGATGTCAAAGCTGAGAATGGAGGAAGCTTTTTTGGAGCATTTTTTAGCGGCTGGTCAAGTACAGAGGAGCAAAAGCATGAAGATGAAGATGAAGTATCTACTGATGCTCCCAGTAATTCTGGCGATGAATCAAGTGACAATCTTGTAAACTCGGGAGCTACTGTAGAAGAGAACTCGCAGAATTCAGTGCAGGAAACGAGCTTCATTACAACAATGGTGAAGGAACCTCCAAGTGCGACCATAACAAAAAGCCTGGAAGCTTCTGCTGGCATTGCTGGCATGCCTGGGCTGGCCTCTAATACCCTTGGTCAGTTTTAGCTCTATTGTATTGTAAACTAAGCAATTTAAAGCTTTCTCATAATTGTTGTTACATTGCTCCTATAGAGGTGCTTGAATAATTGGTAAACATTTCCTCACATATTTCCTGGAATTTTTTATAAAATCACTATCTTGCATTCTTTGGATGGCAATAACTATTTAGTGTACATTTGCTTGAGTTGTGGTTCATGTCTTACATGATTATATTTGTTCAATATGTATCAATTTAGAGTAGCTCAGTGTAACACTTATGGGAGCCATTCCTAAATTGCCTCTGTAATACTTACTACCTTTAAAAATGTGTTGGTGTTGCATATATTTAACCTTGAACAGTGCATCGCCTAAAGCAGCTTTTCAAAGACACCTGAATAACTGAGCATCTGGGTTAACTCTGGAGGTTCTTTGCTGTTGATGGTATGAGGATTACTGCCATAGCCTCAAAACGTGCAGTTCACACTAATTTTGAAGTTTGGAAAGATTAATTGAATTTTAGTTCCTACAATTAGTGTGGGTTTACAGTGTGCTTAAGATGTTCAATCTGTGCTGAATTTTTATGTGGTTATCATTATATAATACCACTAGTTTTTCCTTTTCTTTTGACACGGAGTCACACTCTGGTTTCTATATTCATCATTGAATTCAAATCACAGTATGGTCCACTGTTCTTATTCACTGTGTCACATTTGATCATTGCATTGTATAGTTGTGGGTATTTCTTTCTCAAGTGTATGCACTTCATCTCTATGGTATTACATATTTTGTATTGTAAGCTGTTGATAATGGTACTGCGTGTTTATATTTTGCTTTCTCTATTTTTACCTCGCAAATTCTATTTCCTTCATTCAATTCTTCAAACTCCCTTTAAATTCAATTGCTTGTGTCTGTGTTATATAAACTGAGGACTTCAACTCTTCCAACACTGCAGATGATCTGCGTCAACGCAAGAAAAAGATGGTTAAAAAGAATATTGTTCATGCTTTGAAAGTTTCTGCTGATCGCACACTTGCAACGAGTAAGAAAGTCTCTTCAAAACCATCCTTTGTGTCTGTGGGAGCCGTTCATGAAGTGACGTCTTCTGGTGCTCTCCACACCCCTAAATCTATTGAAGCTACTCATGCTTCAATGCTGACGAGTGCTTCTCTTCCACTGATTCATTCTGATAGCGAGACTGCTTCTGTGTCTTCAAGACTTGCATCACCCACCTCTATGACTACTAGGGCTCCTCCCTTCACAGTCACAGAACTTTTTTCATCCATGACTTCTTTACCAAGACTTGACACCAAACAAACAGATGCCATTCCAAGTCGGGAAGCAGGCAGTGACAGCCATACACTAGCAGCCAGTGACAGCCATACACTAGCGGACAGTGGCAGGCATACAATAGCAGCCAGTGACAGCCATACACTAGCAGCCAGTGACAGCCATACACTAGTAGCCAGTGACAGCCATACAATAGCAGCCAGTGACAGCCATACAATAGCACCCAGTGACAGCCATACACTAGCACCCAGTGACAGCCATACACTAGCAGGCAGTGACAGCCATACGCTAGCAGCCAGTGACAGCCATACACTAGCAGCCAGTGACAGCCATACAATAGCAGCCAGTGACAGCCATACAATAGCAGCCAGTGACAGCCATACGCTAGCAGCCACTGACAGCCATACACTAGCAGCCAGAGACAGCCATACACTAGCAGCCAGAGACAGCCATACACTAGCGGACAGTAACAGCCATACACTAGCAGCCAGTGACAGCCATACGCTAGCAGCCACTGACAGCCATACAATAGCAGCCAGTGACAGCCATACACTAGCAGCCAGTGACAGCTATACACTAGCGGACAGTGGCAGGCATACACTAGCAAGCAGTGACAGCATTTCATCTGTTCAGCCCTTATTGTCTGATTTAAATAGAATGGCCATAGTACCAGACAAAAAGGGCTCGTTGCTCAATAGCCAAACCTCGGGCCTAAAAAACGAAAATTTCAAATCCTTGTCCGTTGATTCACCAGAAGCAGGGAAGACAAAACCGACTGACGGTAAACTGGTTACTGGTGAGTGAAGGTTCCCTCAACTTGCAATGGTTTGCTGCATGCTCTCCTCAAGCCTAACAAAAAATTTGTATTAAGTGGCCTAATGTAAATTTGTGAATAAATGAATATAAACATATTACACATGCCTCTGAAGTGTGAATGATCTGCCTTATGTGTGATAATTAGTGCTTTGGTCATCTTGTATTGAATTTCCTCAAATTCCGCTTATGTGTTTGGTAAATCTTCATCAGTTGAATTAATCTTAAGTTTCCTCAATGTCAATTTACTAACAATAAAATTAATTGCATCAGTAAGGTTTAAAAAGTCACTGCTTACAAACATTTTGGGGTTTGCTTTGCTTGGTGAGGGCTTCCTATGTGTGCTTCTTTGATGGTTATTGCTTTGAGCATTTAAATGTCCAGTCATTATTTGCACTTAATTTGGTTTGTGATGTTTTTGTTTAGTGTTTATTGTTTTTCACTCAATTTAACCATTTCAGTTCATTATTTTAGCCTTTCTTCAATTTCTAAGACACTTTGTGGGTTGTGACTTGCATAATTCTCTTCTTTTATCCCATGCTTCTTTGATATTTTGCTTGACTAATACTTTAAAAAGAAACTAATGACTTGGTTCCAATATTCCTTAAATCACTTAAGTAGCTCTACTTCTTATGTTCCTTTATTTCAGACCCTTTAAATTTTACAAATCAGCTCTTTGGTTGAATTCATTTACTGATTTTTGGTTTTTAATATCAAGTTATTATTGATGTGTTACTTGAGTGATTCAATGGGTATTGTCACCAAATTACTTTTTTTCAATGTCTCGACACTCGCAATTCAGTCAACTAATTCATGTTGTATAGTTCTTCTTAGTAAAGATTATGGTATTTAATTCATTAATGTTTGTTCATTATATTTACTAAATCATCTCTATTTCCTAAACCTGCATATTTTTTTCAACCAATTTGCTATGAAAGATTCCACTTTCTTTTAATAACCTGCAGAATTTTTTTTAATTGCCACAACAGAGACTAAGTATGGTGGAGATGAAGCACAGGAGCCTGCAGCTCACTCAGGCCAGGATGAGTCATCCAGTGCTGAGTCAGGATATTCTAGTGATGAAGAGATGAACACAAGTAACCCCAGCACAACCCATGAGCCTGTAGCTGAGGGCGGTACTGATTCACTTTCACATGACCACCAGCCTGGCGAAGGTGAGGCCGATGAGCCTCATTCTGAAGATGGCAATGTTGAAAGTTCACTTCAACCTCCGACTGAGGCTTCGAGTGAAACGAATCCTGAGTATGCCCATGCTTCTTTGGATGGTCTGCAGGATGAGCCCAACAAATCCCATATCTCATCTGATTTGGAACATGCCCATTCTGATGAGTCAGCAGACACTGAAGCACCTGAGGCATCAGATGCCAAATCTCCCGAATCACCAGATCTTGGATCTCCTGAGTCAGAAAATGAGTCCTCTGTTTCTTCAGATGCAAATGCAGAAGATCCTTCGGACCTGCACCACCCTGAGTCGCTCACTGGCCACCTGCTCAAGACTGTTGAACCCATTGTAAGTATTCTGAGTGTTGCTGGCCATTCACTCCACTTTATGACTGATAAAAAATTTATTTCTGTCATTGATATTGGTTTGTAATTCGTCAATAATGTATTTTTTTCACTATGCTGGCCACATAGGTAATGTTGGCACCTAGCATCAATTTATAATTGATAAATAATACAAAATATAAAGCAAAAGATGTTGCATGCGCAGATACAGTGGTTGAGCGGTTCATCGCAGGTATGCAGAACTCCAATGTTTTCTGTTATCTTGTGGCATGCATGGTGGTGAAATAGGGCTTGAGTATTGAGATTGCTTGGTTGCTTGAATTGAAAATTATCTATTTAATTTATATTTTAATTAATTTATTAGCAGGGAAATTGCTTCAACATCTTTCAATGAAATTTTTAGAGACTCGCTCCATGCTGAACCCTTTTGTCTTTTTCTTTGCTATTGAAATTTTTATACCTTAATATTGTCGGCACTCCTTACAAGTACTCAAATCAAACGTGATGATTGATTTTAGCATTAATATACACATAACATGGAATATTGTGTTTCTAACCAAATGAATGCTAGTAATGTTGAAAAAATCAGATTTCTTCATCCATGTGTATAATCCTTCCTCCTTGAAAGTTTGTGTTTGACATTATTGCTTGTAATTGTGAGTCCCATATTAACCATATAGGTAATAGCCCTGTGGTGTCTGCTTGTAAGTGTGTTGCTTCTGTCTACTCATACATGTATGTAGGCACTAGTATAATGCTACGGCATCGTACCTCAGAGTTGTTAACACTGTGATTTTATACGTAAAGGTTCATATGCAGTAATTGTTCTCAAGTGGCTTGCCATTGCTTGGTCACTCCAGCACCAAAAGGCTAAGATTATAATAGAACGTTTGATATTACATGCATCAAGTCCTGATATTCATGGAAGACACATACAACACATGAAAATGAACACATATTACAGCACACAGTATGCCATATGTACCAGTTCTGTTCTTCTGCCCATGAGTTCCTAGATGTGGTTATTATTAATTGTTTTTGGTAGCATGTGTGATATTTTTTGCCCATTATTGTTAGCTTGGTGTGTGACACTTGATATTTGAATCCTCAACATTTATTCTTGATTACAAATTACAACATTGATCACAAATTAATGTTTCTTACTTTTGTCCTCACTTTGGAAGCAATAAATGAATAATAAATAAACCTAATTTGCTATTTAAAAGCGTTTTAGCTAATTACAAAGTTTAGAATATTTTATGTAGAGTGTAACTAATCTGTCATAAGAATTAATGTTTCACGTGGATTACTACTGATGAGAAGTCATGCTTAGCACAACGTTTGAAATGACACAAAATTCCTTGCATTTCCCTCCACCAGGGCATTTAAGTGTGGTCTGATTGTTAATGGTGTTGCTTCTCCCTTAACTTGTATTGAAAATCCATTGATATTGGGAGTTTAAAATGGGTCTTTATGATAAATGAGAGGCTTTGAAGGAAGTCAACCTTCTTTATATTTTTTAATGATCTTGCATTAAATTTGCCTCTTAATCGCCACCACATTGAAGCAACTCTCCCTTAACCCTCTTGAGCGTCACCACTCACTTCACCACTCCCCGCAGCTGGGGGAGAGCCTAAGCCTGGCACTGGAGCACGACCTCAGCGCCCCCGTGGAGTCCCGTGGCTCGCTGATGGCCATGGCCATCGTGGCCGCCACCATCCTCCTGCTCTACGTCGTCCACGCCGCCTTCACCGTCAGTGTTGCTCCTCTGCTGCTCATTCATATTGCTCAGTTTTGCATTCATTATTGAAAATTTTTTCACCCTTTAATGAAATAATTTTAGCGACCATTAGACATGATACGAGCCTATCTAAATTACTATTATTGTATGAAAGACATTGTCACTCATTATCTTTACATCAAAATGTAATGAAATTTTAGAAATATCTTCCATCCCATTACTATCAGTAATATTTTGATCGGATGGTTCAGAAGTGAAGCATTAAATCAGTGCTGTTATTTTAAAATCAAATGAGAGAAGTGATCTATTAAACCAGTACTGTTGTGTTGAAATCAAACAAGTGAAGTGAAGTAGTAAACTAGGGCTTCTATATACATGATGATAAAAATAAGTGAGTGTGTGACGTGTGTGTACCGTACAGAGGAGCGCACGGGAGTCACCGCTGCTGGAGGCTCTCAACAGACTGGAGCACGAGCAGCACACCGCCGACGGTCTCATCATGCAGCTGAAGAGTCAGCTTACTTCCAGCCAGGTACATAGCAGCACAACATTACAGTGTACTATGCACTCTGCGTGTAGCTAGGTACCTATCATCTAGTGATGAGTAACAGCAGTATTATTAACACAGCAGTGTTGAATATGGGAAAGAATTGAAGTAGAAAATTATTATCATAGCAGTGACTGATTACGAGGACTACTTTTTGTTTGATTAAAGAATTTCGTCCTACTTCTACTTTATTTCTAACCTTTCTTCTTGGTCTTGATGTAGTAATTTCAACTTTCAACCGAAACTGTAATCATCGATATAAGGGGGTGGCGTCGACAGGATTTATAGTTATTGCAAGATACTAATTATTTCGACACCTGTATTGAACTATCAATCGTATGGAAATCTCGATAGAGTTTTTAATTAAACATTTTTAAATACTGTCAAGTCCGACTGCCTCTAACGCCGCCACGGAACTGCCCGCGGTCGCCCGCTAGCTCCTGTTAAATACTCCCCCGGTCCCGCGCATGCGTGCTAGGCGGCTCGAGCTCCACCCCTTAATTCAAACTCCGCATCTCAACCCCCAAATCCCCCTATTCTTATCATATTTATTCCTATTCCTAATCATGACGACAATTTGATGACTTTATCATCTAACCTCAGACATTGTGTCCCGAGATACGTTCATCAGCTAATAAGTTGTAATTGTTGTGCTTTACACAAGGCTTTTTTTCCGGAGACATCTTATGCAATTGTTGTCGCGCCACTCATGACGCTTGGTGTGTTATCTGAACACCCCTTTGTTTTGCATGGCGAGTATGTGCATTTGCCAATTAATAACTATTTGCACTACCTATGCAATCGGTATGCATCCATGCAAATCACGTCAATAAACAATCTTGAATGGGAAATAACATCAAATATCTCATTCTCTCTCTTTAAGACAATAAACATTGCAGACCATTAGGGATACATTTTAATTCTGATATTATTTCATCTGCAATAGATATATCCTCTCTGCTAAATCTGTAAACCAAAATGTTATTGATTTTAAACAACTTGCTGCACATGGCCAACAAAACGCTTGTCATGTCATGCAGACTGCGGCTGCCAGCGGAGTAGATGAGCAACAGTGGGCACAAGCCTCAGCTCAGCTTCGGGTGAGTTTCTTTCACTTAGTGCAGAGTATATGTCGACGATACTAGAATGTTCATAGATGACGACTTTGCCCATGCATATGATGTTGATCCTGATGATCATCCCTGGACGTGATTAACACCATTATTGTATGAGGAGTCTTGCAGGAGGTGCACTTAGATGAGGATGAAATTGTGATATTGTTGCAGGAGGAGAATGAAGAGCTGAAAGCGCGTTGCGATGAACTGGAGCGTCAGCTGGAGGAGTCCACCAGCAGCGGCCTGGAGATGGACAATATGATCCAGGACCTGCTCCACGCGCAGAAGGATACCGCCAGCTTCCAGGTCAGTTTATGGAGTCGCGTGGTAATGTTTGTTTGGAGGTTATTGGTGACGATGGAGTTTCTTATCTAGTTATGATGTAGATATTGGTGGACAATGTTGATGTGCTGTCAACTTCTAGATCAGGTGTCAGAGTTGGTGATGATGCTCTAGGCAAGGTTTATGACGAAGATGATGTACCGTGTCTGGTTATGATGCTGCAGCTGGTTACTTCACCCATGAGTCTTGCTATAATGCCTTACTTGGAAACTTATTGTATTGACTATCCGAGAAATTTTAACATAGAAATGATTAATTATACCTTTATTGCTTAGATGATATAAAGTGTTTGGAATATCATGTTTTCATGCTATGCTGATGTAATTAAGTATGTTTCATATATATACTGTTATGTTGACAGGAAGCGATAGACAGCCTACAGCTGATGCTTGACAGCCAGCGTGACAAGGTCGAGAGCTTGACGTCTGACCTCACCATTAAGACCACTCTGGTAAGTTGTTGCCGCTCTGGTGAGCTGTTCTGTTGCCACCTGTTGACTCATTGACCACTCTGCTGGGCTGCTTCCTTGCAACATCATTCCTTTTATCTACCAACCACTCAAGTAGGCTGCTCTGTTGCTACTAGTAACCACTTGTATTGATGTTGCCACTCTGTTGCTACTGGGTGCCACTTTATTTCGCCTATAATTTTTCCAGCAAACAAATAACATTTGTTTTCATTATCATTCATTATTTTGTGCCAAAATAACATTTGTTTTCATTATCCTTTTCAAAATGACAATCATTCTGATCATGATCTTGTATGTGCAGAATGATGAACTGCGTACAGAATCTGCTGCAGCGCGGGACAGAATTGCCAAGCTCGAGTACCAGCTGGAGCAGGTGTGTGATATAATTGAGCCTTCCTGGCCGCGTGTTGGGCTCAATACACTCCAGCCTTGCAGCCACTAGTGATGCTGCATTCCACTAGTTTCTGTCATTGTTACTGATGTTTAACATAATTATCTATCTTTTAACTGTCCCTTGTCTTGTATTCCATCATTACTGTGTATTACATCATATACTTAATTTCTAAGATAGAATATCTTATTCCGTTAAATATCATCCCTTGATTCGCAGTCCTTAAAAAGCTTGTAAGAGTTGAATTGGAACTGCATGTTCTTAATAAATCTAATGCTAATGTAAAATAAAAATTAGGTAACACGATCGTTGGAAGAAGTCAGCTCTGCCAAGTCTCGTGTCAGCGCAGAGCTTTATTCAGAGCAGACGCGGCTACAGGAGCTCAGGACAGAGCATGATACTCTGACACAGAGTTACAGCCAAGCCACAGATGCCCTGAAGGCCATCTCAGAGCAGCAGAGCAGTGCAAATCTGAGAGCTGAGCAGCTGGACAAGCTCCTTAAGACTCGTGAAGCAGAGCTGCAGGTCAGTTTTACTACGAGTTTTAACTTTTCTGTGCCGATCCAATGTTTATTGTTTTGTACATCGTTGTATGCTTAGCTTTCAGTTTGGAACTCGTAGCGATATTGTTTTCTGATGAAATCATATCTATATTACAGGCATATAACTTATCTAGCTCTGACCCCCCCGTGCCATCTCGTCCTTGTCGTGGGGGGGGGGCTTGCGTGTCTCGATGAGACCCGAGGCTGTACGGCCTCAGATGCAATCATGGCCGGGTGGCTCGGGTGGAGAGTCCAGACTAACAGAGATGGCAAAACGCCCTTATCGGAAACGGCCTGGCTCTCAAATGGACACGCGATGACCCTTCTTTGGATTGGCGAACCCTGGCGGGGACTTAGACCCGACCCGCCAGCNGATAACCTTAGACGATACCTGATGGAATGCAACCTGCTGCCAGAGATTTAGCATGACCCCGTAACGCCACCGCCGGTCGGTCATATGCACTTGCACCACCGCCTTTAGCGAGACTATAATCGCACCTTGCCAACACCTAGACCAAGCCTCACTAAACTTACGCTGGAGTTGATACATGAAGTCGGAGCGGACCCTCGCTCCATGAGCAGGGAATCTACCGCCCAGCCCCTGCGCCTAAAATGGATCAGGCTATAAGCCTTGGAGACGGAAGAGACCAAACATCTTTGACGTAGCTGAAGACCTCACCTCCGGCGCGAAATAGATTCGCTATCTGAAGCGCTAGTAAATCTTTTACTACTACTACTACTTATCTAGCTCTGAACATAGATGATCGTATTAACAGAAGTTGATTTAGCTTCTGTTTTAAGCTTAATATACAGGGTTATTATAAATGATGGGCCCGATATAATAAATTAGGATTCACTTAAGTATGAATTCAAAATGAATAATTTATACACCAATGGAAAGAGAAAGATTCAAAGTTTTTTTTTTACCTATTTATAAATGTTCGACGTCCCTTGTACTGCCCGACAAACATCTTAACGGTAGCCAAACTCGCCCCGCACACGAGAAAGTATATCTTCTGTTACTGAGTGCACCGTAGCAGTGATACGGTTCTTCAGGCCAACCAGAGCTGCTGGTAGAGGCGGGACGTAAACTCCGTTTCCCTGACGTAACCTCATAAGGAATTGTAAGGAATATAAGGAATAAGGATTATAGTCACACGAGTTCAGGTGATCTCGGTGGCCAGAAGTGCAGCACCAGGAGAACACATTGAACATTTATACTTATGTTGAAAAAACTTGAATCTTTCATTTTGAATTGGTGTATACATTTTTTTATTTTTAACATTACTTGAATAAGTACTAATTTATTAAATTGGGTGTGGCGTTTGACTCATTTGTTACAGGTGACGAAGGAGTGCCTGAAGCAGTTGAAGGTCTTCAATGACGGCAGGGCTGGCAAGGACAAGTTAACGCAGCTGCTAGATGTCGTCAAGGTTATCTCACTTAGCAAATTGTCCAAATGTCAAAGAGATGAAATCAATAATCTAGGTTTCAATTGTTTCACCGATTTCCAAAGCTGAAACGCCCATCTTTTACTCGATCGATTTTAGTATGTTATTTCGTCATTTTTGTGTGCGTGATTTTACATTCCTTTACCTAAATTTGAGCTAACTCAACTAGATTGCTGAACTATTAAATCATAAGAACTAAACTACATTGCCGTGTTATCTCATCGTTTCTTTAGCTGCTGTTGCTGATTATCGAACTTGTTTTCAGGCACGCTCGGACCTGACGTGCGCTCAGCAGGAGCGCCGTGCGTTAGAGGCGGAGCTCAAGGAAAGTTCTGAGCAGCTGCAGAAGCTACAGGAGCGCCTTCAACAAGCGCAGCAGGAGGCAGAGCAATGCAGGAAAGAGAAGATGCAAGCGCAGCTGGAGCAGAAGGAAGCTCTCAATAAACTTACTGTTCTCACTGATTATTTCCAGGAGGAGAAAGCACAGTTGACCAAGTACGTAGCTTCTTCTGGACTAAATCGCATGAAATAATCTTTTGTACTATTTTGAAATTTTGTTAACTAACTCTCTCGTAACTCTCGTAAACAGTCAATTAAATTGAAGTAGCGTTTAATATAGTTAGTATTCCTGTATATGAAGGGTTAAAGTACAAATAATGATCGGTGTATTGCTAATTAAATATATATTTATTACGATATAGGCAGGAACACCGATAGTTTTACCGGCTCTACACTGATTACACTGATTGTGAGTCACGTCAACCCATACCTCATTTCTCATAAATGCGTTAGGTTGGGTGCAAATTTGTAGACTTCTTCAGGACTTTCTCTTAATTTGCTTTCGTGATTGTAAGTTATAAAAGCGTTTATTATACCTCGGTTTACAGTCGCCTAACTATGCAGAAAGCTTCTGAGATGTTCATGTATATTGTATACAGTTAACATAATACGTACAACTTGATATGGTAGGAAAATGTCCTGATTTTCTTATTTCACTGTAAGAGAGAAACTAATCAAAAGCATAGTGAGAATTAGTGCCCAAGTTCATATAATAAGTACTATATGTTAAATGCTTTCAGAGAGCTCGAGTCGGAGTCAGGGTTGAGGCACACCGCTGAAGGTTCGGCCGAGTCAGTGAGCTCACGCATCAGAAACTACGACATGCAACTCATGGCATACAAGTAAGATCATCCATCATTCACTATTGGTTACCATACCTAAGTTTGACTTCAAAAAACTTGGTTGTAAATCCTCGTTAGTTAAAAACTTAAATTTCATAACGCTTTTTTAGTGTTGAAATTAAGTGCCTATTGATAATCGTCAGAATTGAAATTTAGTCTGTAACAATCTGTTCTACATTGATCTAATGGCCTTGGACATGGTAATTTGGTCCGTGTTAATGCGGTTACATCAAAGTAATACCAACCTTCAGAGTTCAGTAACCCAAAAGTTCTTTATTGGACAATTGTATACTCGCCGCTTTATGTGACTGATGAAAATAAACATCATGAATACCTGTGTACCCGCTCTGCTAACCAGTGTAATACTGTAATAACGTAGCGCTACACAACCACGAATAGTTGTTTCCACCTCCTCATGTCGCCCCTTGTGGGTGATGATAAACTTGAGATTTTGAATAACATGAGACCTTCCGCCTTGCGTGCGATGTTACATTTTGACCTCCGGTGCGAAATAGCTTGATAGCTGAAGCGCTAGCAAACCATCATACTACTACTACTACTCATGTTGCGTTTCACTAACTAGTGTAATAGTTAATAAGTTAATAACTTGAAGCCAAGAAGTAGTCTTCACTCACACTTGACGCCCCCACAGAGCTCAGGTGGAGATGCTGAAGAAGGAGTTGGAGGACCAAGAGGTGTCATACAGGACGCAACTCGCCGCCCAGGAGCAGAAGGCGCATGAAAGCTGGGTACGACCATTCATCACATGGCAATCATGTATATGTATTCGTTACTAATTATTAACAAATCCATAGGTTAATAAATTGCAGGAAATTGCTAGCATCATGTCACCAGTGTTCAGCACTGTTAGGCAGACAACATAGGTAATTATTATCATTTCATATGCGAGTAGTACTTCATAAGGACATTTCTCCAGGCTTTAGTGTCGATATTTATTAATGAAGTTTGATATGTTTGTTTTTAGCAGTTACCAACTGCTTTGGTAGAGAGTGAGCTGCCATACTTCTGAGCATTAAGTTAACTGTGCACGATTTCATCCTTGTAAACTGTTCTCATTTGCGTGACCAGGTTGCTGCTCGGGCTGCTGAGCGCAAGTATGATGAGAGCAAGCAGGAAACTGCTCAGCTGCGCAGTCGTCTTCTGCTCATGAGCAAAGAAAACAGCGAGCAACTTCCCATCGCCAAACCTTTGCCTAAACGTGAGCAGCATTTCTGCTATCGTATATTTAAATTATTTTTTCTTTATATTTGCTTCTTTATCACATAGGTGCATCAAATCTCTATGAGCCGTGATTTAATAATAATAATTCATAGACCTTATGATAGTTAATAATTCTAGGATAGACTTTATCGATTTATTCCTAAAAGATAATCGCATTGTCATATTTTCGGCCTCGTATCCACGATACTAACCGTATTGAAATATTGCATGGGCTTGAACATTTATTAGTTAAAGCACTTGAACAGCTAGTATTTTATTAATGAGGAGGGCAGCTGATTGAGCTCACAGAAAACATTTATGGTATCTTGAAAATCATCAATAGTGACAACCTGCGATCATTTCTCAGATGCTGAAGCAAGCAACGGCTCCCTGTCGTCTCCACGACCGCCTTTACACGACGACCTGGATGGGGAGCACAGCCTGCCTCTAGACTCCCCTCCACCCATCCCTCCTCCTCCTCACCTCCTCCCCCACCTCTTCCCACCGCCACCCCACCTCTTCCCACCGCCACCCCACCTTCCTGGCATGCCTCCCCCACCTTTCCTCCCTCCCTCTCATTTCCTTCCACCCCCTCCCATGCTCGACCGTCGTCTGCCTCCGGCCGGCAGACTCGCGTCACCGCCGTTTCACCGCCGCATCGAGGCAGCGTCGCCGCCGTTTCATCGCCGTATAGGTGCAGCGTCACCGCCAGAATTATTAGACCGCCATTCGCCACCAATTTTTGACCGACGAAGCTTCTCGCCCGCAAGCGAACGCTCGCGATATTCAGACCGTCAGTATTCGCCTGACCGACACAGCAGATATTCTCCCGACAAAATCGGCCGTTATTCACCGGACCGACAAGGCCGCTATTCACCCGACCGACAAGATCAATTTTCTCCCGACAGATCTGGTCGTTATTCACCAGACAGACCCGGTCGGTATTTCCCCGACAGGTTGTATGACCGTCACCACCCCGACAGGTACAACAATTCAGACCGACATTCCGACGCTTATTCCTCGAACGGACGAAACTCGTCCCCCGACGGCGTAGCGAAGCGCACGTCGCCGACGCCCCCGCAGCGCCGACCATACGACAACGGCGGTCAGCTTGGCAAAGGTGATTAATATCTGTTGATCTGAGTTCAGGGTTATTTTTAGGACTGGCATGAATGATATTTGTAGGCCTGGCTAGAGAGAGGTACCTGTATGATTGGCAAATATGTACAAATTTGTAGAACTGGCTAGATGGATACTTGTAGACCTGACATTGGATTGCTGCCTGTTATTCATCAGCATGATGAATCATGTGGATGTAGGGGGGGTCAATTTGTTGGTCATGTTGTACTCTTTTAAGCCTAAAGCTGGTATTTTAAACTATTTATTTATTTCATTTGTAGCTAGTGTTGAAGGTATTTTATGTCCTTTATCAATGAACATTTCTGAATCATTTGATTTTTACTACATTCAATTATACTTCTGTACTGATGTTTAGGAATTTTAGATATCAATTTCTATTAATACGTGTTGATGCGCAGGCAAGAAAACGTCAACGCCGCTGGGTCCCAACGATCGGTGAACTTAGACCTTCATAGCTTTGTATTCAACGGCGCCATTTGTTAGATCGTCTAGTAATAAACGCTGTTATGTATCTGTGGGTTTTGTGCGGTCTCAACGTGTAGGCTCAACTACGCCAGAGGTCAAGATTATTGTTTTTCGCATACAGCGGAGAAGTGAACTGAACAATGTTTTGCAGTGCAATGTTTATCTATGAAATTCAGGCAAAATTTGGTCCTCGGATGTCTGGTTGTTTATTGCGAGATTGCAGCGGTGTTACTTAAGCCTCGCTCGATTACTATACAAACTCTCTGTAGTTTGGTTTTAGGTTAACTATTTATTGGTATGCCATTGCTATGTAGTGTTGTTATGAAATAATGAAATTCTTTGTTATTTTTCAAGGGTTTATATGTGAATGAAACCACCGGCCCAACCTTTGTGCGGCGATGTTGTGTTATTTCTTTATTCAATGAAGACGTTATAAGTTGAGGCAGTTAACGTGATGGAATTGGTAATTCTTCTCTCTGGCCATCATTTGAATTGTTCGCCCGTGTTACAGTATATTTTTATTGTGACGTCGTGACAAGACATTGGTGGAACACAAATCTTGGTTTTCTCATTGCAGTGATCACTAGGTAACTTAACATTGTTTGAGGTCATCGGCTCTTTTCTGTTATATTTTGTCGGCTAAGTCTAAAAATATCATTGAAATACTTCGAATATGTGTAATGATTCATTTATGGTGTATAAATAACTACGAATTGAATGAATTGTATGCTGTGGCAATGTCAGCCTCTCTGTGTGGCGCAGTGTCCAGTACTGTTATTTTCTGCTTAAGAGAGATATTATGTACGGCTCTAAGGTTCAATGGTTCTCTTATTTATGCTACTTTTTAATTTTCATGTATTTTTCAAGACAAAATGCTACTTGATTACCGTAGATGCAACCCTCACCATCCGTACACCTGGAAAAAAATACTAGATTTGTACGCTGGTATTGTCACATCTATAGAAATGACTACGAAATCCCAAGTCTATTTTATCCAAGCAAGCAAATCGCTCGTGGTACCGTTACGATCTTTTCTGGACTTACTATTATCGTTTATTATTATTATTATCGTATTATCGTATATTTTCGATTATCATCTCCCGAATAAACCACCACAAGACTTTTGGATTATTAACTATCTACTTGTGAAGCAAAACGATTACCTAATTCTCTTCTTATGCAAATCTTTTTTTTAGTTGTTGGCCATTCGATAAATGAAAAAAAACATAAATTAAGCTCATCATATACGGTATGCATGATCCAGCAGGGCAACGTAATATTTACAGTGTCGCCATCTTGATGTAACCCCTGACTTGCTGTTTCAATCGATACTTAAAACGTCTCCAGAAATGTCATGATCGATCATAGTTGGGTACATCGTTAATCTATAAAAGCAGTGTTGCTGACATCCCCTCGTAGTCTTTGTTTACTTATCACAATTACTTCTTATTTTCTGGTGATATTTCACGGCAGTATTTCAAGAAATCTGTACTATTTCGTACGTGTCTCCCCCATCCCCCCGAACGCCCTTGAGTAGGGCGGGGTCAGATGCTAGAAGTTTACTCGGGTGTTCTGTCCATCAGTCAATATAGACTCAATTCTGCCTTACGGTTTCTATTCTGTCAGCTGCAGGGCTGAAGCCCTAATTTAAAATCGAACCTAAACTCGCGATCGCCGTGAAGTTCTTTCGATTTGCGACTTCGGATCTTTTAAAATGTTAGGGCAAATTATATTCGTGATCGAAAGTTATACGATGGCCGTAGTTGATCGTAAGTCTTACGTTTTTCGTAAATTCCCGTTTTGCTTCGGAAATTGAGTGGTTTCCAATTTTATTTTTTGAACCAGTATTCAAATAATTGTGGTGAAGTTAATCCACGACCTTACCACCATCGGATTTTTTGGCTGCAGCGGCCCATCACACGGCGAAATAAGTACTCTAACCCTGGCATCTATGAAATCGTAAAAATGTTTAATCCTTTGCCTCCGTAATTTTGCCTAGCCTGCGGACTGGTGCATCTGTCCTCGGTGTGCGTGCCTCCCGCGGCGTGTTGTTCGCTAGTTTCTCTTGATTTTTTCGTTTCTCTCTCCATATTTAAAACCAGTCTACGTGCTTGCACTACCGTCCGTATCTCGATATTTACACCTTTGTCCCCCGCAGAGCATGCGCACCACAGTTTTTCTAATTGTTCCGGCTGGCCAAAAGTTGTACCTTTTCCACCTATTATTAATGACTGCGCGATTCAACCCGTCTCTTTTCTCTTCGTTGTCTAAAGTTTCCAATTTTTTTCGCTGGAAGAAAACTGACACTTTTGCGAGTCATAATTGACGACGTTTGTACATCTTTGATGACCTAGTAGTAGATATTTCAGAGAATTGTTGCTCTGTAGCAAATATTGCAACTACCGTTTAAATATGTATACTATGTTGGTGATGGGCTTTGTTTGATGGAGTTTCCAATCTGTCAATAGTTGAGATTCGACTAACAAGTACATGCTGAGTACTCGAAGAAAAGTACAGCAGACTCCCCCGAAAAAAATCAAATTGGCTGGTTCCTTGAAGCTTGTGCCTTTAGTTTTCGTTTTACTAGTAGTAGTTTACTAGTACAACTTTTACAGCATTTATTTGACAAGGTCGACCACGCCAATTTGTCGCGTCGACTTGACGAATCATTCGTCCTGCGCGGCACAGTGTTGTTGCGGTTCGAGTCCTATCGCAGAAATAGTTTTCAATGCGTTCTAGGCTGAAACTCTTCTTCTACGCCATCGTTGGTCACTTGCGGCGTACCACATGGATATCAGTTCTCGGCCAGATCCTCTCCCTGTTATATACTGCGGACGTATTGCATATAATAGATTCACATAGTTTAAATCCGCACATGTTCGCCAATGACACCCAAATTTCTGGCTACGGTGCACCGGCTGACGCCGCAGCGTTGCAGGATCGAATGAGAAGCCTGCCGAAGACCAAATCTGCCCCGGATGTAATGGAGCGCTCCTGCCTGCGCCCGCAGTTCGCAACCTGGGCATTCTGCTGGACTCGGAACTTTCAATGAACAGTTACATTGCCAAAGTCACCACCGCTTGCTTTGGCGCTCTGCGAAGAATACGTAGCATCAGCCGCTGTCTTTCAAGGCCGGTCCTTGAGGCCCTTGTGGTGGAGCTCGTTCTGACTTCTGACCAGATTGGACTAAGGTAATGCCACGCTTTTTAGACTTCCAACCGCGGCACTCAATAAACTGCAATCCGTAATGAACGCTGCAGCTCGACTCTTGTGCAATAAGCAAAAATTCGACCGTGTGACGCCGATATTGCGAAATCTTCACTGGCTGCATATTCAGCAGCGCACGCAGTTCAAGGTCGCTGTTCTGACGTTCCGATGCCTTCACGGTCTGGCGCCTCCTTATCGCACGGAAGGTCTGCAGCGCGTGTCGGATCTGCCTTCTAGAAGACGATTGCGTTGGTCATCAACAGCGTACCTCGATCGTCGTACCATCCATCTATTTGTCTACCTACCGTCGGCGACAGAGCGTTTCCGGCCGTCGCCGCCAGAACCTGGAATGGTTTGCCGGCTTCCGTAACTTTGGTTCCTTCTTTGCAGGTCTGTCGTCGACGGCTAAAGACGGAACTATTTCTTAGAGCCTATGAATCTAGTTCTTATCCGTTCTCATCCTTTCCGTGTCTATATTATTTCTCGCTTGATATTAATCTTATGTGTGACTGTGACGTGCCCTCGAAGTTCGTGTGAACCAGACGGTACGATAAATGTTTCGTGGAATAATAATAATAATCTACCCTACCTCACTCAGTTCGCAATTCCGATGTTCACAAGTTAAACTCTTCTGCTTGATCTGGCTCATTAATATTTTAATATAATAATAAGTCAGTTGACTAGGATACAAAACTGATTCATAATGTCAGTTGCAACGTAAAATTTTGGCCCATTGTGGAAATCCGTTCAGACTCGAAATAAGAGCTACGGGCGGTAAACTAGCTACGAAAAAGCGGCGTTGCACTCGAAAATTTAGAGTTCACAAATATATATTAGGCTACGAAAATATCTAACACACGTAAATTAGACACCGCAAACTCCAAAACTACAACGAAATCAAATCTCACACTGGGGATGAAAATCAATAAAGACTACTACTGACTTTAGAAGTCTCATTATATGGGAATTTGTAACGCTATGGCTGTGAGCTGTTTCGTTATTGGTGTAACGTGCAGTGCTTTCTAGCGCGAACTGCGTCTCGTAGCTATGCGGTAAATTAACGGCAGTATTTCAAGAAATCTGTACTATTTCGTACGTGTCTCCCCCATCCCCCCGAACGCCCTTGAGTAGGGCGGGGTCAGATGCTAGAAGTTTACTCGGGTGTTCTGTCCATCAGTCAATATAGACTCAATTCTGCCTTACGGTTTCTATTCTGTCAGCTGCAGGGCTGAAGCCCTAATTTAAAATCGAACCTAAACTCGCGATCGCCGTGAAGTTCTTTCGATTTGCGACTTCGGATCTTTTAAAATGTTAGGGCAAATTATATTCGTGATCGAAAGTTATACGATGGCCGTAGTTGATCGTAAGTCTTACGTTTTTCGTAAATTCCCGTTTTGCTTCGGAAATTGAGTGGTTTCCAATTTTATTTTTTGAACCAGTATTCAAATAATTGTGGTGAAGTTAATCCACGACCTTACCACCATCGGATTTTTTGGCTGCAGCGGCCCATCACACGGCGAAATAAGTACTCTAACCCTGGCATCTATGAAATCGTAAAAATGTTTAATCCTTTGCCTCCGTAATTTTGCCTAGCCTGCGGACTGGTGCATCTGTCCTCGGTGTGCGTGCCTCCCGCGGCGTGTTGTTCGCTAGTTTCTCTTGATTTTTTCGTTTCTCTCTCCATATTTAAAACCAGTCTACGTGCTTGCACTACCGTCCGTATCTCGATATTTACACCTTTGTCCCCCGCAGAGCATGCGCACCACAGTTTTTCTAATTGTTCCGGCTGGCCAAAAGTTGTACCTTTTCCACCTATTATTAATGACTGCGCGATTCAACCCGTCTCTTTTCTCTTCGTTGTCTAAAGTTTCCAATTTTTTTCGCTGGAAGAAAACTGACACTTTTGCGAGTCATAATTGACGACGTTTGTACATCTTTGATGACCTAGTAGTAGATATTTCAGAGAATTGTTGCTCTGTAGCAAATATTGCAACTACCGTTTAAATATGTATACTATGTTGGTGATGGGCTTTGTTTGATGGAGTTTCCAATCTGTCAATAGTTGAGATTCGACTAACAAGTACATGCTGAGTACTCGAAGAAAAGTACAGCAGACTCCCCCGAAAAAAATCAAATTGGCTGGTTCCTTGAAGCTTGTGCCTTTAGTTTTCGTTTTACTAGTAGTAGTTTACTAGTACAACTTTTACAGCATTTATATTGAGTTATTCATGTGAAAGAAAAGGCAGACATTATAGTCCTCTGTTGTAAGTGGTGCCAGGTTTACGAAATCTCCCAATTTGACCTCTAGCTATTCAAATAAAATTATTGACTCAAAATATGATATTTCTTTACAAGCCCTGGGCTGCACTACTGTGCAAAATGTTGGTTGAAACTCGAATNCCAATTTGACCTCTAGCTATTCAAATAAAATTATTGACTCAAAATATGATATTTCTTTACAAGCCCTGGGCTGCACTACTGTGCAAAATGTTGGTTGAAACTCGAATTGTTTCCAAAATAAATTGAAACATTGAAGGAAGTGAAGGAATTTTTTTGATTTACAGGTAACTTCATGAATATATTTGAATGAATGTGCCTGCCTCAGCCGCTGAAATCGTTAGCGTTGACAATATTAACTTGTTCCATCAACAGACATAAGGGAATTCGCATGAAGATG